CTATAATTTTGCTTCATATGACAAGGATTGAAAATGATTTTCCAGTAGATTGCCAACTTGATGCATGATGTTGACTGCTTGTCTAGCTTGCTAGCTAAGATTTTGAAAGTATGATGTTGACTAGATCAGTTCAATCAAAGCTACGGTAGATATAACATGATTTGACTTCATTTTATCTGTGGCCAATGACCTTGAGCCTTATTGGATGGGCACTTCTAATCTAAATCTATGGCAGCACCAAAGGGGCTTGAATTTTCGAGCTCCACCTGTAGATTTTGCTGTGAAGTAGTGTCCCTATGAGTGATTGTTGAATAGGTCATTTTGACAGTAAACCTCCAAGTCATTCATAAACCTTTTTAATTTCCAAAAGTACTAGGAAACTAAGTTTTTGTTTCTTGGGATTCAGGAATGTGACTGAAAAAGAAAAAAATACTGATTGAAAGTACAAGGGGATATCAGACCCTGGTTCAATTCCAGGCTGTATCACAATCCGGCCTTGGTTGGGAGTCCCATACGGCGGCGCACAATTGGCCCAGCGTGGTCCGGGTTTGGCCGGGGTAGGCCGTCATTGTAAATAAGAATTTGTTCTTAACTGACTTGCCTAGTTAAATAAAAATATAAGTGAACAAATGCCATGGTCAAGGCTACTATGCCGCCAGTGCAATGAGTGGAGCTTACTCAGGTGTTCAAAGCCATATCAGACCGAGAGCCTAATGCTCCTTAGGTAGTTCTTTATGAGTTTTAGTTTAGAAAACGATCTCTCCGCAGAAGCGACAGTTACAGGGATGGTAAAAGCAGCTTGATTGCCATAGCAACGTCAGGGAAACTGGGCATAAGGGAGTTGTGCTTCAAATACAGCAGTTCTGTAACATATTTAATTGAGCCTCTCATTCTCTTTAACTGCCGGCCTCAACATGTTACGGAAAGAGATTAACTGCATAGGAAGCTCTGGGGACAGGTCGTCTGGATACTGGACAGGCAATAAATTGGCAGACGCAAATAGATTATCATCTTTAGCAGACAACAGTTCTTGAGGGCTTGAACAAAAAAAGCTGTCTGCAATTTCGTTCAAACTGGTGAACAGGCGTTTGAGTTGTGTGGTTGCAATATCAACAGTTCCTTATCTCTGGTATATCTTGGCATGAATCATTCAAGACTTAGTTTAAATTGTGTGCAGCGCAATAGACATAATTCACAATGTCTCAGGAAAGTCTGGCCTGGCAATACTCAGTATAGAAAACAGTCGGACCACAACCTGGACCTACAGGCCGTGGTGAAAACATTTGCACACAAAAAGGAGGACTTTAGCACACCAGGGGAGTCTCAAGTTGAATTTAACTTGATTTAATTGAATTTTCCTACAATGTTGCAGCCCATTTGTGTAGGCTATTAGCCAGACAAAACCCGCTAAGTTTAACAATAAATAGTGACTGAATTTATGCTCAAGCCAACTACCCTTTCCCTCATAGGCTATTTGATATGTCATTTTTATAAAACGTTTATACATAGCAGCTAAATACCGAATATAGCTATAGATGGTACACTGCGTAATGAAACAATCCCTAGTAAGCTACTGTTTTGAGGGTGGACTGACTATTATTTGGTTTTACGCACAACTTTCTATTCAAGCTGGGAGAGAGCGCGAGGACGAATTATGTCATGCAGGTTCAGGTAGCCTATATAGAACAGTTGTTGATATATATATAAAAGCGGATTAGTATGCTGTTGTATCGAAAAAGTATTTGACAATCTGCAATGTTGAATTTCCAACTGTAATTACTGAAAAAGTAATTACATTATTTCCACCAGCCAGCAGACTAAAAATGGCAGCATTGCTACACCGTGTATAGCTTCATGAAATGTTAGGTTTAACCTGAGAAGATGACAACCAAATAGGCCTAGCAATAAACATGTATCCATTAGCTAAAGCAAAGCTATGCCCTGGCACCACAGAAAGCCTCTCATCGATTCGATATACATGCAGCCGCATCGATGTCGCAATTTTAGCACCATGGACAGCGATCGGTATTCTATACTTTTCTTTAATTGTGTTTTTAGGAAGGGGAGAGGGGAAACACCTTGTCATGCTCTGCAAACATCAAAGCAGTCACTCGCTCCTGTAGGTTCATGCTCTAGTCTACAACATCATTAAGATTACGAACCTACCTCACACAGGAAGCGGCGCAGGTCCTAATCCAGGCGCTGGTCATCTCCCGTCTGGACTACTGCAACTCGCTGTTGGCTGAGCTCCCCACTTGTGCCATCAAACCCCTGCAACTCATCCAGAACGCTGCAGCCCGCCTGGTGTTCAACCTTCCCAAGTTCTCCCATGTCACCCCGCTCCTCCGCACACTCCAATGGCTTCCAGTCGAAGCTGGCATCCACTACAAGAGAATGGTACATGTCTGCGGAGCAGCAAGAGGAACTGCCCCTCCCTACCTTCAGGCTATGCTCAAACCCTACACGCCAACCCGAGCACTTCGTTCTGCCACCTCTGGTCTCTTGACTCTCCCAAGCCCTACGGGAGGGCAGCATCTCCCCTCAGCCCAGTCCAAGCTCTTCTCTGTCCTGGCACACCAATGGTGGAACCAGCTTCCGAACCGTCATGACACTCAGAGAAGTGGGTTTTCACTGGAGCTGTCCGGGTGCTGAAAAGGCGCGTGGGAGGTCGCATATTGCCATCCTTTGCTGCTTCTCTCTCTATGCCAAGTAGACCTTATGGCTCATGTTTATCCAAGATTATAGTTCATCTCTTCTATAGAGAGGCTACAGCACCAATCAACATGGGCAACCATGTCTGTTGTATTAGGTTATTTGTTTGAATGCTCCATTTCATCCTTTTGGCTATATTCTATAAATGGCATATGTTCTATACTGAACAAAAATATAAACACAACATGTAAAGTGTTGGTCCCATGTTTCATGAGCTGAAATAAAAGATCCCAGACATTTTCCAAACGCACAAAAAGCTTATTTCTCTCAACTTTTGGCCAAAAATGTGTTTACATCCCTGTTAGTGACCATTTCTCCTTTGCCAAGATAATCCATCCACCTGACAGGTGTGGCATATCAAGAAGCTGATTAAACAGCATGATCATTACACAGGTGCATCTTGTGCTGGGGACAATAAAAGGCCACTCTAAAATGTGCAGTTTTGTCACACATAACAATGCCACAGATGTCTTATGTTTTGAGGGAGCGTGCAATTGGCATGCTGACTGCAAGAATGTCAACCAGAGCTGTTGCCAGAGAATTGAATGTTTATTTCTCTACCTTAAGCTGTCATTTTAGAGAATTTGGCAGTACGTCCAACCGGCCTCACAACCACAGACCACATGTAACCACGCCAGCCCAGGACCTCCACATCAGGCTTCTCCGCTTGCAGGATCGTCTGAGACCAGCCACGTGGACAGCTGATAAAACTGAAGAGTTTCTGTCTGTAATAAAGCCCTTTTGTTAGGAACAAATATTCTGATTGGCTGGGCCTGGCTCCCAGTGGGTTGGCCTGGCTCCCAAGTGGGTTGGCCTAGGCCCTCCCAAGCCCACCCATGGCTGTGCCCCTGCCCAACCATGTGAAATCCGTAGATTAGTGCCTAATGAATTTATTTCAATTGATTAATTTCTTATATGAACTGTAACTCAGTAAAATCGTTGACATTGTGGCATGATGCGTTTATATTTTTGTTCAGTATAAATGGCTGTGGTTCTAAATGTATGTGCTCTATGTAGGCCTATAGGCTTTTAGCCTATGGTCTATATTTTTCTCTCTTTCCATAGGCCCAACACACACGCACACACAGGTCATGGCCATGGTGGTCGTGGTCCACTTTGCATTTCACCCAGAAATCGTCAGCATGGACGTCATTATACAATGCATGGTCTCCATAGTGGCAGCTTTTCTGTTAGCGGTATAAGCGCCAATCTGTTTGGTATTAGCGTGGTCATGTCATGCACATGTAGCCTACATCAGGACCGACTGATTTCCAGCCAATTCCTAGTCCCGTTCATGATAGGTATTCTTTGTCTAATAGGGCCTATCCCTGGACACTGACCTAGTGAAGCACACGTAGCCTGCATCTCTATTTTAATGAGGACCGTAGCCTTTCACAGTAGGATGAGCAAATAGGGTTCTTGAGCTGCTTATGCAGCAGTAGCCTTTTGATTTCGCCTCGGCTATATGTTTGTCTGGTCTCGTGGACGCCCACCGTTGAACCATTTGAGCCAAATGGTTTCACCGGCTTACCGTAGATTTGGCATCGGTCGTGGCCATAGTCGTTAGTGGCGTTAACTCGCAGATACAATCTATGGGGTTGGTTCATGCGTTTGGCGCTGATACTGTATGTCTTCTCTTCATGTCAAAGATGCTGTTAACTTCTCGGTGGGGAGAAAGAGGGGGGCGACAGCGAGAGAAGGTAGGGTGGAGCTGTCCTATGCACATGTCTTCTGTTTACACACTGGTGTTCGGAGACAGATAGCTAATTAGCACAGGTAGTCCAATTTGGCTTCTGCGCTGTAACATGGAAATATGGCCGTTTGGGAACCCCTAACCCTATAAAGGTGTGTATCAATTTATCCTTTTATTTAAAAATTTTTTTTTAAATAATTTGTCGCTGATATGATAGATAAGGTCCTTGTACTTCCAAAAATGTACCACAAGCGATGCGTGTTAATGTTCAGACTGAGCGTTGCGGCTCTTAACAAAACTCCCCCCTACAGAAGATGCCTTCATCCAATGGCTCTTATGTCTAATGGAATGGAACTGAGAGTTATTATCAACGGCTAGACCTGCACCATCACGTGCTCTGGGGAGCTGTCAAGTGTCCAGATGCTGAAACTCACGCAGGATTGTCTCTGTTTTTTTCGCTATTCACACATCGATTTCATAATATCTAACTGGGCTCTGAGCAACATTTGAGGCCGATTGCCCACCACACCAATATTGAAAACACTCAAGCGCTGTGGTGTTACTGACATACTGAGCATGACTGCTTTTTTTCCAGGTTAAATTTGAGGACTCTGAAATGATCTCAAAGTCAAGAAAAGCGTCAGACTCAAGAAAGGCAGTCAGCATCCATGAGATTGCTGTTCTGGCCAGATCCTTCTTAAATGATAACGGTCAGAAAGACACACACATAGACCATCTATCTAACCCAGGCCTCCTACTTTTCTCTCTCCAGACGATGAAGGACCATGTGACCAAGCCAACATCCCTGCAGGGTGGCAGGGTCGTCCATCTCATAGAGTGGAAGGGTTGGCCCAAACCCACCGACCCCCCTCCACACACTACAACTCCTACTGCCACCTCACGGAGGGAGAACAGGAAGCTAGCTTCGCCGCAGGTGTGTGTCCCTCTGCCAGCTCAGCTAGTGAAGTAGAGCTGGTGTCAGGTGATACAGACCAATGAATAGTAATTGAATGTTGTCCTCTTTTAATATATTTTATCTCATCTAGTTTATATTTTTAGAGTGATGTTTACACCTTGGTGTTGTTTCTATTGTCCAACAAATTCTGTGATCAATTTGTTTTTAGTCAATAGCTCAGAAAGGATCTTAGCAGAAATGTGTCCAAGGCAGTTTAATTTTTGGTATTTATTTTACCCTTATTTTACCAGGTAAGTTGACTGAGAACACATTCTAATTTACAGCATTGACCTGGGGAATAGTAAGGGGGATGAATGAGCCAATTGGAAGCTGGGGATGATTAGGTAGCCATGATGGTATGAGGGCCAGATTGGGACTTTAGCCTGAACACCAGGGTTAACACCCCTACTCTTACGATAAGTGCCATGGGATCTTTAGTGACCACAGAGTCAGGACACCTGTTTAACATCCATCTGAAATACGGCACCATACACAGGGCAATGTCCCCAATCACTGCCCTGGGGCATTGGGATATTTTTTTAGACCAGAGGAAAGAGTGCCTCCTACACCACTTCCAGCAGCATCTGGTATTCCATCCAGGGACCGACCAGGACCAACCCTGCTTAGCTTCAGAGGAAAGCCAGCAGTGGGATGCAGGGTGGTACGCTGCTGGCAGTGGGCTAATTCACTCTGTGGATTTTAGAATCATTAGCATATGATTTGTGGGTCAATTGGGTCAAATGTAAAGCGGACCACCACTATGTGTTTGTGTGCGTACGTACGTACCTGCATACAGTGAGGGAAAAAAGTATTTGATCCCATGCTGATTTTGTACGTTTGCCCACTGACAAAGAAATGATCAGTCTATAATTTTAATGGTAGGTTTATTTGAACAGTGAGAGACAGAATAATGTTCTAAATTGATTTGCACACATAGTGGTGGTCCGCTTTACATGAGGGAAATAAGTATTTGACCTCTCTGCAAAACATGACTTAGTACGTTTCTTGTAGTTGGCCACCATGTTTGCACACATCTCAGGAGGGATTTTGTCCCACTCCTCTTTGCAGATCTTCTCCAAGTCCCATTTTCTATGGGATTAAGGTCTGGAGACTGGCTAGGCCACTCCAGGACCTTAATGTGCTTCTTCTTGAGCCACTCCTTTGTTGCCTTGGCCGTGTGTTTTGGGTAATTGTCATGCTGGAATAGCCATCCACAATCCATTTTCAATGCCCTGGCTGAGGGAAGGAGGTTGTCATCCAAGATTTGACGGTACATGGCCCCGTCCATCGTCCCTTTGATGCGGTGAAGTTGTCCTGTCCCCTTAGCAGAAAAACACCCCCAAAGCATAATGTTTCCACCTCCATGTTTGACGGTGGGGATGGTGTTCTTGGGGTCATAGGCAGCATTCCTCCTCCTCCAAACACGGCGAGTTGAGTTGATGCCAAAGAGCTCGATTTTGGTCTCTTCTGACCACAACACTTTCACCCAGTTCTCCTCTGAATCATTCAGATGTTCATTGGCAAACTTCAGACGGGCATGTACAGTGGGGGAAAAAAGTATTTAGTCAGCCACCAATTGTGCAAGTTCTCCCACTTAAAAAGATGAGAGAGGCCTGTAATTTTCATCATAGGTACACGTCAACTATGACAGACAAAATCCAGAAAATCACATTGTAGGATTTTTTTATGAATTTATTTGCAAATTATGGTGGAAAATAAGTATTTGGTCACCTACAAACAAGCAAGATTTCTGGCTCTCACAGAACTGTAACTTCTTCTTTAAGAGGCTCCTCTGTCCTCCACTCATTACCTGTATTAATGGCACCTGTTTGAACTTGTTATCATTATAAAAGACACCTGTCCACAACCTCAAACAGTCACACTCCAAACTCCACTATGGCCAAGACCAAAGAGCTGTCAAAGGACACCTGAAACAAAATTGTAGACCTGCACCAGGCTGGGAAGACTGAATCTGCAATAGGTAAGCAGCTTGGTTTGAAGAAATCAACTGTGGGAGCAATTATTAGGAAATGGAAGACATACAAGACCACTGATAATCTCCCTCGATCTGGGGCTCCACGCAAGATCTCACCCCGTGGGGTCAAAATGATCACAAGAACGGTGAGCAAAAATCCCAGAACCACACGGGGGGACCTAGTGAATGACCTGCAGAGAGCTGGGACCAAAGTAACAAAGCCTACCATCAGTAACACACTACGCCGCCAGGGACTCAAATCCTGCAGTGCCAGACGTGTCCCCCTGCTTAAGCCAGTACATGTCCAGGCCCGTCTGAAGTTTGCTAGAGTGCATTTGGATGATCCAGAAGAGGATTGGGAGAATGTCATATGGTCAGATGAAACCAAAATATAACTTTTTGGTAAAAACTCAACTCGTCGTGTTTGGAGGACAAAGAATGCTGAGTTGCATCCAAAGAACACCATACCTACTGTGAAGCATGGGGTGGAAACATCATGCTTTGGGGCTGTTTTTCTGCAAAGGGACCAGGACGACTGATCCGTGTAAAGGAAAGAATTAATGGGGCCATGTATCGTGAGATTTTGAGTGAAAACCTCCTTCCATCAGCAAGGGCATTGAAGATGAAACGTGGCTGGGTCTTTCAGCATGACAATGATCCCAAACACACCGCCCGGGCAACGAAGGAGTGGCTTCATAAGAAGCATTTCAAGGTCCTGGAGTGGCCTAGCCAGTCTCCAGATCTCAACCCCATAGAAAATCTTTGGAGGGAGTTGAAAGTCTGTGTTGCCCAGCGACAGCCCCAAAACATCACTACTCTAGAGGAGATCTGCATGGAGGAATGGGCCAAAATACCAGCAACAGTGTGTGAAAACCTTGTGAAGACTTACAGAAAACGTTTGACCTGTGTCATTGCCAACAAAGGGTATATAACAAAGTATTGAGAAACTTTTGTTATTGACCAAATACTTATTTTCCACCATAATTTGCAAATAAATTCATTAAAAATCCTACAATGTGATTTTCTGGATTTGTTTTTCTCATTTTGTCTGTCATAGTTGACGTGTACCTATGATGAAAATTACAGGCCTCTCATCTTTTTAAGTGGGAGAACTTGCACAATTGGTGGCTGACTAAATACTTATTTTCCCCACTGTATATGTGCTTTCTTGAGCAGGGGGACGTTGCGGGCGCTGCAGGATTTCAGTCCTTCATGGCATAGTGTGTTACCAATTGTTTTCTTGGTGACAATGGTCCCAGCTGCCTTGAGATCATTGACAAGATCCTCCTGTGTAGTTCTGGGCTGATTCCTCACCGTTCTCATGATCATTGCAACTCCACAAGGTGAGATCTTGCATGGAGCCCCAGGCCGAGGGAGATTGTCAGTTCTTTTGTGTTTCTTCCATTTGCGAATAATCGCACCAACTGTTGTCACCTTCTCACCAAGCTGCTTGGCGATGGTCTTGTAGCCCATTCCAGCCTTGTGTAGGTCTACATTCTTGTCCCTGACATCCTTGGAGAGCTCTTTGGTCTTGGCCATGGTGGAGAGTTTGGAATCTGATTGATTGATTGCTTCTGTGGACAGGTGTCTTTTATACAGGTAACAAACTGAGATTAGGAGCACTCCCTTTAAGAGTGTGTTACCTGTATAAAAGACACCTGGGAGCCAGAAATCTTTCTGATTGAGAGGGGGTCAAATACTTATTTCCCTCATTAAAATGCAAATCAATTTATAACATTTTTGACATGCGTTTTTCTGAATTTTGTTGTTATTCTGTCTCTCACTGTTCAAATAAACCTACCATTAAAATTATAGACTGATCATTTCTTAGTCAGTGGGCAAACGTATAAAATCAGCAGGGGATCAAATACTTTTTTCCCTCACTGTACGTGTGTGTCCTGACCCCCCTCTCTCATCCCTACACCTGCCCCATAGCTCCTCTCTAACCCCTGCATGTCACAGCTCAGATCTGTGCCCCACCCCCTCCTGCTGTCACCTAGGCGATGGCGGCCTGTCCTATGAGAGCCCAACAGATGGTAGCCAATTAGAGACTGTCACTTCACTGTCCCCATAGTGATACAGCCTCTCTCCTGTTCACTCCCTAACTATCTCTGAGGCTACTGTCTGTCACTCTTTCCTGTGCTTGGTGTGTTTGATAACCACCTGTAAGGTTTGTGTGTGTGTGTTTTTCTGACAAGTGTGTGTTCTTCTCCAGGAGTGGCAGAGCAGTTTGCTATCGCTGAAGCAAAGCTGAAATCCTGGGCCTCTGTGGATGATGACGAGGAAGAAGATGACGAAGAGTTCCTCCAGAACAACAAAACACACTCTACCCATAGCTCAGGTAAACACATGCATACAGTAAACATCACCCAATATTGCGTACCTTTGTCATACTCATTGTGTGTGCCACCTAGACTGTGCTATGCCCCAAAATCTCTCTCTTCTTTTTTTCCCTCCTCCGTTACTCACCCTCTCCTCATCCACCCATCTCTCTCTCCTCATCCATCTCCAGGTGTTCTGACTCTTTGCTTCTCCCTCAGACACCGCAGCGTCCAAGCACGAGCCCCGAGTGCTATTCCAGGCTGAGACTGACAGCTTCGAAGTTCTAGCAGCAACAGCCTGCACTGTGATAGGCCCACATCTCAGAACGACCCGCCCACTCCAGAGAGTGACCGGGCTAGCCCACAGAGGGGGAACTAGTGGATGGTGAGGATCAGCCTGTACCACTGCAAGTCTGTATCGTCCACAAGTCTGACTGGAGGCCGAGAATCAGAAGCAGTAGGTATGACTCCTGCTATTCAACCTCTCTTGGAGAGGAGGAAGAGGATAGGAGTGTGTTTCAGGAGGGTAGAGAGAGGCACTCCTGCCAGAGAAGCTTGTTCTCCGACAGAGGCTCGTCAGGCGTGGCTTCGTTCGATGAAGAAGATGAGAAGGAGGTGGAGGAAAAAGAGGGGGAGGAGGAGAGGAAGAGAGAGCATTTAAATGTGATGTGTTGTTTTGTCTTGTAGGTGTACCCCTTGGATAGTCTGTCTACTCTTAGTTACAGTGTCTTCTGAAGTTACTCACATCCCTTGACTTATTCCACATTTTGTGTTACAGCCTGAATTTAAAATTGATTAAATATAGATTGTCACTGGCCTACACACAATACCCCATAATGTCAAAGTGGAATTATGTTTTTAGAATCTTTTTACAAATTAATTAAAAATGAAAAGCTGAAATGTCTTGAATCAGTAAGTATTCAATCCCTTTGTTATGGCAAGGAGTAAGAATCTGCTTAACAAGTCACATAAGTTGCATGGACTCACTCTGTGTGCAATAATAGTGTTTAACATGATTTTTGAATGACTACTTAATCTCTGTACCCCACACATACAGATAATTGTAAGGTCCCTCAGTCGAGCAGTGAATTTCAAAAGCAGATTCAACCAGAAAGACCAGGGAGGTTTTCCATTGCCCCGCAAAGAAGGGCACCTATTGGTAGATGGGTAAAAATATAAAAGCAGACATTGAATATCCCTTTGAATATGGTGAAGTTATTAATTACACTTTCGATGGTGTATCAACACCCAGTCACTACCAAGATACAGGTGTCCATTTAATCCATTTTGAATTCAGGCTGTAACACAACAAAATGTGGAATAAGTCAAGGGGTATGAATACTTTCTGAAGACACTATGTCAATCAATCAATCCAATTGATTTATAAAGCCAGTTTTACATCAGCAGATGTCACAAAGTGCTATACAGAAACCCAGCCTAAAACACCAAACAGCAAGCAATGCAGATGTAGAAGCACGGTGGCTAGGAAAAACTCCCTAGAAAGGCAGAAACCTAGAGAGGAACCAGGCTCTGAGGGGTGGCCCTTCTGGCTGTGCCGGGTGGAGATTATAACAGTACATGGCCATTAAGTCCAGATTTTTCTCCAAGATGTTCAAACGTTCATAGATGACCAGCAGGGTCAAATAATAATCACAGTGGTTGTAGAGGTTGCAACAGGTCAGTACATCAGGAGTAAATGTCACTTGGCTTTTCATAGCCGGGCATTTATAGGTTGAAATAGCAGGTGTGGTAGAGAGAGAGTTGAAAACAGCAGGTCTGGGACAAGGTAGCATGTCCTATGAACAGGTCAGGGTTCCATAGCCGCAGGTAGAAGAGTTGAAACAGGAGCAGCAGCACAACCAGGTGGACTGGGGACAGCAAGGAGTGATCAGGCCAGATAGTCCTGAGGCATGGACCTAGGACTCAGGTCCTCCGGGAGGGGAGGGACAGAGGGAGAACTTAGTGATGTATAGCCTTTACCCATCTTCCTTCCATTCTTCCTTCTTTATTTCCTTCCTACAATCCTTCCTTCCTTTTGTCTCAGCTCTTGTCTCCCTGCTTCCCCTACCCTGTACCTTTCTTCTCTTTGTCTCTGCGTTTTCTCTTACTGCTCCCACTTTCTCGCCATTTCTGCTGATGTTACTCTGTATTGGAGAGTTGAAACTGGATTACTGAGTACCGTGTTGTTCAAACTGAGAAAAGTTTTGTACATTTCTGTGTAGATTTATGTTCTTATTTCATTGGTTTTCTATGGATTGTTCGTGTTGTTGGACCATGCTGTGAAGTCATGTAATGGGTTTGTCCTGGACAAATAAACATGATTTAAAAAATATGATTTTCACTCTTTGATCATTTTACTCATCTCTGGTAGGAGACAAGAAGGAGGAGAAATTGCCCAACACAAGCACGCACACCACACACACAGAACAGAGTTTTGAAAAACAGATTTGCATCTCAAAGTTTTTGTTGAAATTTAATCCATTACTGATGTACAAAAAACAAATGGTCATGTTCTCTGAAAAATAACAATGGCCGTTCATCTCAAATGCATATTCTCCTATGCCCTAACCCTATACACAACAGGGTGTGCTTAGATTTCCTATGTCCAACGCATATACAGGCCAGGGCAATATAAAGGGAGAAACGGCAGACTTATTGCTTAACTAGATGCGCTGTTAATTAGCTTATACACTCTCTACATTAAACTCTTTTACATTATATTTTATATGGCGAGCACTACTTCACATTCTATCTGCATACAAAAGTAAGACAACTTATTGCACAACTGATTTTTTTAAAAGACGGAAATGAACCAAAGTTGTGATGCAATGGTTTTACATAGAATTGAAATATATTATGGCTCAAAACTGTCAATGGCGTTATTGAAGTGATTAATGATTTAACATCCGTCTTGAATGAACCCATTTTATAATGAGACAGTGGAGAACAGTCACACACACTTTCTCTACAACAGACAGTTGTTTAATTTTCTATCGAGGCTTTTATTGCTTGTCTGTGGACTTGGGAGAGTTATGACTGTGCTTCTAAGTTGGTAGTACTTATTTCTAAAATGGTTTTGAGGCCAGGAAGACTGTATAAATAATGTTCAGTGTGTGTGTGTGCTATGTCTTAGGGATAATATTGTGTATGTTGGTTAACAAATATGTATTACTATGTGTCAGTGTGTATGTGTGTGCGTGCTTAACTTCTATGTATTCTGAGTTTCACTGTTGTCATTAACACTAAAATCATTCCAGAGACATGTTTAACACTCAGTACAGTAGATGTGTGAATAATCGTTACCAATCGCAAGAAATGTAATGATACAAAATGTACTGTGACCAAAACACCCTGTTACAAGAAACTCTCTCTCTAACATCCGCCCTACTACCTTAATGCCAGACAAGGCTACTTGTACTTTGAGTTAAATGCATGTTAATTACAATGTGCTTCACAAATGTTCTTAACCCTGTGGGGTGCCATTTTATGACTGAGCGATGTCAATGCGTTGGTCTTTTCTCAGCTGCCTTTGGGTAGTTACTTATAATTTCATCAAAAATATCCCTTTTCCGTCCCACTTTAAAGTCCCCACCTCAGATATGAATGTAGCTACCATGTAAATACAGCACATAGATTTTATAGGCCACTGAATCTAAAGTGGGACCCTCCTTTCTCTTTCCTCTCTCTCCTTTGCTTTATCCCTCTATCTTGTCATGTTGTTCCTTCTGATCTGCTCTCTCTCTCTCACACACACACTCACTTACTCTCACTCAGTCTCACTTAATCTCACTCTCACTCACTCATTCATTCATTCATTCATTCATTCATTCATTCATTCATTCATTCATTCACTCACTCACTCACTCATTTGGGTGAAAGTAGAAGTGTCAGCACCAGATGGGTGCATGGGCAAGGTTCCACCAATTCACACATTCACGCATACACATACACCCCAAAACACTCTCTTAAAGAATCATGTTGTCACATTCATTCACTTATTCTATCACTCACACAGGAATACAAGCTCATTCACACCAACACACACACACGCACACGCACACACACCAGCTTGAAGATTGAGGTGAAAATGACCTGTAAGGTTATAGAAACCTCAACGAACCATGAATCATCTCCTAATTTTCCGTCACCCCTTCTGTCATTCTGATTGGTCCTCAGTGCGGGTGGGACTTCGCTCACACTGCAGTTCTGATTGGTCCATTTGCTGTATGTTCTCGGGCAGGGTTCCATGTTCCTTCGCCGTCTCCGATTGGCAAATCTCAGGGAGGTGGGGGGGGTCAAAATCACAGGCCAGCTCTGATTCGTCAGTGTGGGAAGGGCTGCACTCTAAGATAAACTCTTCTGTTTGGTCCTCTGTTAGTGAGAGGCATTCCTGAATAACCAATTCCGATGGCGGGTCCGTATTGTCAGCGGGGCTGGTTTCAAACTCCAAATCTGATTGGTCCTGTGTGAAGTGGACAGGACTCTCCTCATACATATCGTCCAATTGGTCCTCCATGTCAGGCGGGGTGGGTTCCTGTGGTAACGAGAGGCCTCTGTGGCGGTTCCAAAGCTTGTGTAGCTCTGTCACCTCCGAAACACTGGTGGTGTTGTTGCCGCTGTCACGGAAACTGGCCAGTGGGGGGCGAACTTTCACCCCTGTCACAGTCACTGAGCCTTCTATGGCCTTGCGAAGCTAGACGTTGGACAGAGAGAGGAGAGGGAGAGATGGAGGAATAAAATAGGGAGCAAGGATGGAACATTATGGAGTCACTTTGGAGTAAACAACGTGGTGATTCATATTACAGATCTCCAAACTCACAGGGTTGTTGCCAAGGCAACCTCAATCTGCAGCAATTTCTGTAATGAGCAAATTGATTAGCCTGAGATTACTGCTGATCCATTAAGCGCAATATTGTCCTTAGGACTGATCTAAGGTGATGGCAATATTCAAACACAATCACAGCCAAAGTAAACAGGAAGGTTTCCTGTGATGTGCTTGTGGGGATTTTAAGATGAACTGCCCTAAATCACTCATAGCATGATGACATCAGTGTTGAAAATACAAACTACACAAACTACATGACATCACAGTGACATCAGAGTTCTAGTGCACGGGAACACCCACCTCCCTGAGGGAGACCACTCCCACCAGTCGTCCAATACTGGTCACATAGGCATGGTCCAGCCCCAGCAGAGAGAATATGGTGTGAGTCTGAAGAAAAAGAATGAGAGAGAGGGTAGAGGACTGCAGTCAAGAGAGCAGATCAGAAGGAACAACATGACAAGATAGAGGGATAAAGCAAAGGAGAGAGAGGAAAGAGAAAGGAGGGTCCCACTTTAGGTTCAGTGGCCTATAAAATCTATGTGCTGTATTTACATGGTAGCTACATTGACATGGGGGAGATGGAGACAAAGAGAAAATGAGAGAGAGCGTGGGTAGAAAGAACGATAGATGACATCCATTAAAATGTAATTGAGAACAAATTGTCTATTAAAACAATCACACAGTCTAGTGCAGAGCCTTGGTCTAGTGGAGCTGCGTGCCATCACATTTCTGTCACCAACACCATCAATTTAAAGGGATGTCATCAAGGGCAGAGGGAAGAGAACATCATGTTTTAGGGATGGAACTCAGCCATTGTCTGCACTTGTTGCATGGTTACATTTTTAGATTTGAGTCATTTAGCAGACACTCTTATCCAGTGGATTCAATGACACTTAAGCATTACAAGTAAAGCGTTCCTCCAAAATAACAGATGACAGCTAGGTTGGTTGTGCAGATTGACAAGGGACAGGTTGATTGACAGGTGAACTGATGATGACACACCTTGTGCAGAGACGTCCGCTCCACCAGCTGAAAAGGGGCAGGGTCAATCTTGCAGTTGTTGAAATCCACTGGCTCGTCCAACTGTTGCTCCTCCCACTCCGCTATCTGTGGGAGGGGATTCAGAACTCTCAACCAATGAGGGTGTTAGATTAACTTCGCCGGGCGCCCGTGTTGGTGTGTTTTGCACCGGATGAAATTTGTTTACATTCGATTTGGAACCCGTGTTGCCTGCCGGGCGTGAGCCATTGTGCCCCACTCTGTCCGATGGCGAAGCCGGCTCAAAACAAAAGTGACATGATTAAGCACGTGTAGTATTTTGTAGGATTCTGTGTTTTCCCATGCTAAAGGGATTGCTTTAGATAAAAAAATGCTTTATCTGCCTTCCCAATGAAAATTTGTTAGAGAATTCTAACATTTATTTTATGGAAAAGAGATGTTGTACGATTCTGGACGATGCACCATGCTGCCTTGCTGACAAAATCCCTCAATGATGACCGTCTAACAACTCTTACAACACTTACACCAATCACTGCATTTTTAAGTTATTGACTGACATGACAGTTAACCAATTAGAGTTCAGTCTTACTTCGTTTGTGGTCATGTCATCCTCTACTTCAGGAGACTCCTGAAAACAAAGAGAGACAGTAGTTACACCCCATAGAGGTAGATAGAGGACTCTAGTGCCCCAAAGCCAGTTTTAACATGGGCAGCGCCATTGAGGACTTTCACCATTTTTAAGTAGTCAACTGGGTGGGACTTCCTTAAGGAAGAATTCCATCCAGGTCCTCAGGAGGGATCAGCCAATGAATTGTACTTGTGAGCAAACATTCCTTAACTGCAGGAGGCAGTAAATCACAAACCTTGGCTTTATACCTGTTCAAACAACACACTCCAGGTAGCATTATGCACCCTTTCAGTTTGTTTACCAACTATGATGTACTGTTTTGTCTTTTGTTTTATTTGTAATATAAGTGCCTTAATTTGTTTGGACCCCAGGAAGAGTAGCTGCTGCCTTGGCAACAGCTAATGGGGATCCCTAATAAATACTAAATAAAAACATATAGAAGTAGTAGAAGAAGAAAATGGACTACTTCAAAATAGAGAGCAATAGTAATGGCATCTTTTTGTGGGCACTAACGGAGGCTAACTCCGCCATGGCTCGTTGGCCAAAGCCTATGGGGAAATTAATGTGTTTTTTAAAATAAATGCCGGAAATAACGGCATGTTAACTGACTGATATTATCTCATAGAACAAAACGTATAAGATCTCCTAAGCCTGTGTTAACCTCAGACCTTATTTTCGGCGTATATTCCCCCCCAAAAACATTATTTCCCCATTAATTTCCCCCATTGGAATGGCCAACGGTAGAAAATACTAATTTCCGTTTTTTAGAACTACAAGCTGGTGAGCTCTATGGAGATGACTTCAATTGCACTGCCCATGCTCTCACAGACGCCATAATGGGACAGATATAATATTGCATCCTCTAACTATATCTATGTTACCCGGCACATGCACACATATTCAATATTTCCTTAATTAACATACCACCACTGCATAGGAGAATGAAAGACTAACACATAACCACATTCAGAAGTGCATGCTTCTGCCCCTGTAACTACTCACTGTAAATAATCAGATGAATCACTAAAATGACTCCGGTTTCAACTCAGGTTTGGTCAACTTTGCCTTCTTCTCTCCTTTTTTCCCTCGCTTTCTCTCCTTTCCTACATCAGTCTCTCCCTTCATTACTCATTCCCTCGCTCCCACAAGTGCTATTAGCTACAGTATATTTTGGGTTGGTAGAAGTACCCAAAATGATTTTGGTTGGTCTCTTGCTCAATGCTAGGTCGCTAGGCAACGGTTACTTAGCAACTGTCTCTAAGGAGGGTGGCAGTCTTACCATCGCCATGGAGATCCTGACGCGTTTGGGCCCCCTGCTTTCAGGAGCCTCCGGCTCTGCCAGGCTCTTATAGGAAGAGAATAACAAACACATCGTTAGCACAATGTTAGGATAAAGTTAACACAACGTTAGCACAACCTAAAAAACAACGTTACAGCAACGTTATACTCTATAATGGGCATAGCAGCTGATAAAGAGAGAGAAGACGGATAATGGATATTTAAAAATATTAATACAATATTACTGCAACACATATAGCTTGTTATGCTTCTCTGTTTACGCTACAGCAACGCTGGGGCTTATAGTTACTAAAGATTCTCTGAGGAGAAAGTGGTTGTTGTAGAATATGAGGATACAAGCATAGACTCACCTCGAGTAGCACTCTCTCAGGGTCACCACAGGAGAGTGTCTGCTGAGAGCCTGAGAGAGGAGACAGAGTCGGCGTGTCTCTATTAATTGAAAGAGTGTGCATGCTGTTGGGTGCCTCTGTGTTGTGAGTAGTAGGGACAGTTTTCATAGCAGACTTGAGTGGCAGCTGAGAGTTGGACCCAGCTTGGCTGAAGGAGGACTCTTCTGTTGAGATCTAGGTAGAGAAACATGATTAGGGCTGTTGCAGTGACCGTATTACCGCCACAGCGGCAGTCATGACCACAGTCAAACTATTACTCAAAGGTCATTTATATTCTTCTATAAAATCATTAATATAAGATAATGGCATGGGACTTATAAGCATATCTTGTCTGCTAAATGAACAAGGCTACAGCCTATGGCATGGCACATATCCAGATTTTTTCATATTTTTTATTTCACCTTTATTTAACCAGGTAGGCCAGTTGAGAACAAGTTCTCATTTACAACTGCGACCTGGCCAAGATAAAGCAAAGCAGTGCGATAAAAACAACAACAACACAGAGTTACACATGGGATAAACAAAACAATTAGTCAATAACACAATAGACAATCTATATACAGTGGGGAAAAAAGTATTTAGTCAGCCACCAATTGTGCAAGTTCTCCCACTTAAAAAGATGAGAGAGGCCTGTAATTTTCATCATAGGTACACGTCAACTATGACAGACAAATTGAGGGGAAAAAAATCCAGAAAATCACATTGTAGGATTTTTTATGAATTTATTTGCAAATTATGGTGGAAAATAAGTATTTGGTCACCTACAAACAAGCAAGAATTCTGGCTCTCACAGACCTGTAACTTCTTCTTTAAGAGGCTCCTCTGTCCTCCACTCGTTACCTGTATTAATGGCACCTGTTTGAACTTGTTATCAGTATAAAAGACACCTGTCCACAACCTCAAACAGTCACACTCCAAACTCCACTATGGCCAAGACCAAAGAGCTGTCAAAGGACACCAGAAACAAAATTGTAGACCTGCACCAGGCTGGGAAGACTGAATCTGCAATAGGTAAGCAGCTTGGTTTGAAGAAATCAACTGTGGGAGCAATTATTAGGAAATGGAAGACATACAAGACCACTGATAATCTCCCTCGATCTGGGGCACTACGCAAGATCTCACCCCATGGGGTCAAAATGATCACAAGAATGGTGAGCAAAAATCCCAGAAACACACCTAGTGAATGACCTGCAGAGAGCTGGGACCAAAGTAACAAAGCCTACCATCAGTAACACACTACGCCGCCAGGGACTCAAATCCTGCAGTGCAAGACATGTCCCCTTGCTTAAGCCAGTACATGTCCAGGCTCGTCTGAAGTTTGCTAGAGTGCATTTGGATGATCCAGAAGAGGATTGGGAGAATGTCATATGGTCAGATGAAACCAAAATATAACTTTTTGGTAAAAACTCAACTCGTCGTGTTTGGAGGACAAAGAATGCTGAGTTGCATCCAAAGAACACCATACCTACTGTGAAGCATGGGGGTGGAAACATCATGCTTTGGGGCTGTTTTTCTGCAAAGGGACCAGGACGACCGATCCGTGTAAAGGAAAGAATGAATGGGGCCATGTATCGTGAGATTTTGAGTGAAAACCTCCTTCCATCAGCAAGGGCATTGAAGATGAAACGTGGCTGGGTCTTTCAGCATGACAATGATCCCAAACACACCGCCCGGGCAACGAAGGAGTGGCTTCGTAAGAAGCATTTCAAGGTCCTGGAGTGGCCTAGCCAGTCTCCAGATCTCAACCCCATAGAAAATCTTTGGAGGGAGTTGAAAGTCTGTGTTGCCCAGCGACAGCCCCAAAACATCACTGCTCTAGAGGAGATCTGCATGGAGGAATGGGCCAAAATACCAGCAACAGTGTGTGAAAACCTTGTGAAGACTTACAGAAAACGTTTGACCTGTGTCATTGCCAACAAAGGGTATATAACAAAGTATTGAGAAACTTTTGTTATTGACCAAATACTTATTTTCCACCATAATTTGCAAATAAATTCATTAAAAATCCTACAATGTGATTTTCTGGGAAAAAAATGCTCAATTTGTCTGTCATAGTTGACGTGTACCAATGATGAAAATTACAGGCCTCTCTCATCTTTTTAAGTAGGAGAACTTGCACAATTGGTGGCTGACTAAATACTTTTTTTCCCCACTGTACAGTGTGTGCAAATGTAGTAAGTTATGGAGGTAAGGCAATAAATAGGCCATAGTGCAAAATAATTACAATTTAGTATTAACACTGGAGTGATAGATGTGCAGAAGATGATGTGCAAAAATAGATACTTGGGTGCAAATAAGCAAAATAAATAACACTATGGGGATGAGGTAGTTCGGTGGGCTAATTACAGATGGGCTGTGTACAGGTGCAGTGATCGGTAAGCTGCTCTGACAACTGATGCTTAAGGTTAGTGAGGGAGATAAGAGTCTCCAGCTTCAGAGATTTTTGCAGTTCGTTCCAGTCATTAGCAGCAGAGAACTGGAAGGAATGGCGGCCAAAGGAGGTGTTGGCTTTGGGGATGACCAGTGAGATATACCTGCTGGAGCGCAGACTACGGGTGGGTGTTGCTATGGTGACCAATGAGCTAAAATAAGGTGGGATTTGCCTAGCAGTGATTTATAGATGACCTGGAGCCAGTTGGTTTGCCGACTAATATGTAGTGAGGGCCAAACAACAAGAGTGTACAGGTCACAATGGTGGGTAGTATATGGGGCTTTGATGACAAAACGGATGGCGATAGACTACATCCAATTTGCTGAGTAGAGTGTTGGAGGCTATTTTGTAAATGACATCGCCGAAGTCAAGGATTGGTAGGATAGTCAGTTTTACGAGGGCATGTTTGGCAGCATGAGTGAAGGAGGCTTTGTTGCGAAATAGGAAGGCGATTCTAGATTTAACTTTGGATTGGAGATGCTTAATGTGAGTCTGGAAGGAGAGACACCTAGGTATTTGTAGTTGTCCACATATTCTAAGTCAGACCCGCCTAGAGTAGTGATTCTGGTCGGGCGGGCGGGTGCAAGCAGCGTTCGATTGAAGAGCATGCATTTAGTTTTACTAGCGTTTAAGAGCAGTTGGAGGCTACGGAAGGAGTGTTGTATGGCATTGAAGCTCGTTTGGAGGTTTGTTAACCAGTGTCCAATGAAGGGCCAGATGTATACAAAATGGTGTCGTCTGCGTAGAGGTGGATCTGAGAGTCACCAGCAGCAAGAGCGACATCATTGATATACACAGATAATAGAGTCGGCCCGAGAATTGAACCCTGTGGCACCCCCATAGAGACTGCCAGAGGTCCAGACAACAGGCCCTCCGATTTGACACATTGAACTCTATCTGAGAAGTAGTTGGTGAACCAGGCGAGGCAGTCATTTGAGAAACCAAGGCTATTTAGTCTGCCAATAAGAATGCGGTGATTGACAGAGTCGAAAGCCTTGGCCAGGTCGATGAAGACGGCTGCACAGTACTGTCTTTTATCGGTCGCGGTTATAATATCGTTTAGTACCTTGAGCGTGGCTGAGGTGCACCCATGACCAGCTCGGAAACCAGATTGCATAGCGGAGAAGGTACGGTGGGATTCGAAATGGTCGGTGATCTGTTTGTTAACTTGGCTTTCAAATACTTTCGAAAGGCAGGGCAGGATGGATATAGGGCTGTAACGGTTTGGATCTAGAGTGTCACCCCCTTTGAAGAGGGGGATGACCGCGGCAGCTTTCAAATCTCTGGGGATCTCAGATGATACGAAAGAGAGGTTGAACAGGCTAGTAATAGGGGTTGCTACAATTTTGGCGGCTAATTTTAAAAAGAAAGGGTCCAGATTGTCTAGCCCAGCTGATTTGTATGGGTCCAGATTTTGCAGCTCTTTCAGAACATCAGCTATCTGAATTTGGGTGAAGGAGAAGCGGGGTGGGCATGGGCAAGTTGCAGCGGCGGGTGCAGAGCTGGTGGCCGGGGTAGGGGTAGCCAGGTGGAAAGCATGGCCAGCCGTAGCAAAATGCTTATTGAAATTCTCGATTTCGTAGATTTATCTGTGGTGACAGTGTTTCCTAGCCTCAGTGCAGTGGGCAGCTGGGAGGAGGTGCTCTTATTCTCCATGGACTTTACAGTGACCCAAAACCTTTTGGAGTTAGTGCTACAGGATGCACATTTCTGTTTGAAAAAGCTAGCCTTTGCTTTCCTAACTGATTGTGTATATTGGTTCCTGACTTCCCTGAAAAGTTGCATATCGCGGGGGCTGTTCGATGCTAATGCAGTACGTCACAGGATGTTTTTGTGCTGGTCAAGGGCAGTCAAGTCTGGGGTGAGCCAGGGGCTATATCTGTTCTTAGTTCTAAATTTTTTGAATGGGGCATGCTTATTTAAGATGGAGAGGAAAGCGCTTTTAAAGAACATCTGGGAAATGGTCGGTGGGGACTTAAAGAACAATCATGTCAAATTCGTTACTATGTTGTGATGTCATTAAAGACGTTGGAACAACATAACTGTATCTCTGGGGGTGTACACTTCCCAGTTATGAGGTTTGCATCTAATTGTTGTATAAAACTAATGATTAAGTATAATACAACTTTTGTGAAGATAACAATGTGATTGTAGCATTCTAGATGAGATGACTGTTTTCCATATTGATTTGTTCTCAGTCAATGGCCACGCCCAGATGAGCACAAACATGATGGAACACCCCTTTTACCCCGAGGGCATAAAAAGCCTTGAAAAACAAATTAACATTAGACCAGGAAGCCCCACGGCTTAAAATGGTTGGTACTCTACAGACCAGCCGACATACAGTGCGAGCTGAATATGGCAAAATGATGAAACTCTGAAACTCTCAACCTCTACACGAGGTGAAGAAGAAGACAACACACTAGACCTTATCATCTCAGTCTGCAGCTGGCATGTATAGTCATCTAGAGAACTTTCACTAAAGACACAAGTTGGGAAGGACAATCCCTCTCAGACAACCGTTGGTACATCTGAAGTATCTATTCTATCAACTCTACGAACTACAGGGTACGCTGAAGTATCCATTCTAATCACCACTACGACCAGAAACTCTACCATGGACATTGGGATCTCTGGTGGGCAAACGAGAGTCCTACATCATCAACTCAACTATCGAAGACAGCTACACGTAAATACAAGTTGCATTTCTAATCCGAATGAGCGGTTATTAGGGTTCTAAGCATTTGTATTTCCGTGAGTGTAGTTTCCAAAGTAACAACGATAGTTTGAATCTCTGTCTCTCCCTTCCACTCTGACCCTCCTTCTACCCAATCATTCATGCTATTGTTCGTCCAGTCCACTAGGGTCCTGTTCTCATTGTATTACGTTAGTAATCAATAACCTGTGTGTGTGTGTATTCGGTGTTATTATTTAGTTAGTTAGTAAATAAATATTTAAGACAATTTGTGTATTGCTGATTCATCAATAAGGTTAGGGTTCTTGCAGGTTCAAGGATTATGCAACGTTCAGAATGAGACTGATAAGAGGTAATTATTTAATTAGTGACTGTTATCGATATGAACTCCTGAGTGGCGCAGTGGTCTAAGGCACTGCATCGCAGTGCTAACTGTGCCACTAGAGATCCTGGTTCGAATCCAGGCTCTGTCGCAGCCGGCCGCGACCGGGAGACTCATGGGTGGCGCACAATTGTCCCAGCGTCGTCCAGGGTAGGGGAGGGAATGGCCGGCAGGGATGTAGCTCAGTTGATAGAGCATGGCGTTTGCAACGCCAGGGTTATGGGTTCGATTCCCACGGGGGGCCAGTATAAAAAAAATATATATATGTAATCACTAACTGTAAGTCGCTCTGGATAAGAGCGTCTGCTAAATGACTAAAATGTAAATGATATATAACATATATCTTCTAAGAGTTTAATTCGGGAGATGGTAACTCGTTAAACAACTTCTTCCGTGGAGCCCCAAATTCCTAATGAGTTAATTGTTACATGATTAATTGAATCGAGTGACAATTAAACATAGTTAGTTGATTCGATAAATAACAGTCATACATTAAAGTAAGTCACGTCACGACAATATCATGTTTGTTTAGACCTGCCTAAAATAAATAATTGATTTATTGTGATGGTGTACATTAACTGGATTTATTATACTTTTTTAAAATGTAGATGTTCCAAAGGCGCGTATCAGCGGCTTGTATGCCTGGAGGCCTGAGATGCCAAACGTGTTAGTTAATTATCAGTAATTTACCGTGAGACCGGCAGGCATTAATATGACAATAACCGGCTGACAAAATGTAATGACCACCACAGCTCTACACATGATACATGCATGCACGCACACGTACAGGCACAGACGTACGCACACAAACACAAACACACACACAGCACACATACACAGTGGTTAGAGGTACTGTAGACAGTAGAAGGCATGCTGAAGTACTGAAGATCCCCCACATACTGAAATCAGACAAACTTCACAGACGTCCCCTACCAAATACACCAAACCAACCCACACCACACTCTGTAATACCCCTAAAACACTTACTTCACTCACACATTTACTGTAACCAATGTAAGTCCATCCCAACACATATCCACACATTACATGTAATGAACTTCACACATAACTTCCCTACCTACCCCCCACCCTCGAGGGTGACAGTGACTTTAAGTCGCAGGCAGTGCTACCTCATCACGCGAGCGTGAGTCCGACTCACCTCCGTAACACTCACCAGAAAGCGGACCCCATGGTGTGCGCTGGTATTGGAGGCATTGGTGTGTGTGTGTGTGCAGGGTGGGCTTAGGGGATTGTCCATGGTGCCCAGGCTGGCCAGGTGTGTGTGTATGTCCAGTGTGTGTGTGTGTGTGCCATTGTCCTGGGCGTGCCTCTGGAGGTGGTCTAGCCTGCGCAATGGACCCAGCTGGAGGGACAGGAGTGACTGGAGCTGGGAGCGCTCTATAGAACCCAACAGGATCATAGAGTCTGGAGGACAGAGAGAAAGAGAAAGAGAAAGAGGGAGAGAGGGAGGTGGAGAGAGAGGAAGGGGGAGAGAGAGGGTATTGTTCTCTTGATGCAGGTTTTCTCTCTATTGCGTTGCGCTCTCGTAGGTCGTCTCTCTTTATTTTCCGCGCTTTTTCTCTGTTCTGGCCTGTTTCGCTCGCTTCCTTTGCTTCTCTCTCTTTCTTTTTCTTCTCGTGCTCGCTAGGGTTTCTCTCTTTTCTTTTTCTCTCGCTTTCTGTATCTCTTTTTGCTCTCCGTTTTCTAGCGCTCTCTCTTCTTTTCTTCTTTGCTTTTCGCGCATTTGATCTCCTCTATAGGTACTCCTTCCTCTTTTCTTCTCTTTATTTTTCACCTCTTTTTCTACTCTTTGTCTCTTTTCTCTCCCGCTCCTGTTTGTCTAGTTCTTCTTTCCCGTTTCTCCTCCTTTTTGTTCTTTCTCTCTTCCTTCCCTTTTTCTCTCTCTTCCTGTTTTTTCTCTCTTCTCTTGTTATTTTCGCTTCTTACTTTTTATATTGATATCGTGCATTTTTAGATTATTTTTAGAATAGATATTGATGTGGAGATATTGCTTTCTTTCTTTTCTCTTTCTTTATTCCTTCTTTCTCTCTTTTCTCATCTCCGTTGCCCAGCCCCTCTGCGCTGGCCGGGCTCTCTTCCCCCGCTCCCCGGATCCTATTCTACACAAGGGCGCATCGCCATCGGCCTCCGCCCCTTTTTGCTTCCGAATTCCATGCAACGTGTCGACCTGCAAGCAATCAGATGCAGCACAAAAAAATTGGGACACACACAAGAGAAAATGCACAACAACCGATCAAAAGCAAGTTGATATGGGAGAGTGATAAGATAACAAAAAGAGATGATAAAAGATAGCTTATGACGATTAAACAGTAAGGGAGATTACTAAGCAGAATAACATAATAGATGGAAATGACACAAAGTCAAAAAGCTGGAAGAAGTGAAAGACATGAGATCAGATGAAGCAGTAGAGTGACAATGTGTAATGGAGGAAGGATGCATCTTTAAATTATAGCAGACTATACACACACCCTTACCCGTGGACTCGACCAGGGCCTGTGTTTTGAGCTGTCCAGTCAGCAGGACCTCCTGTATGTCACGATAAGAGGAGGAGAGAGTGATGTAACGCACGTCTCTAACCATGATGTCCTCCACACGGACGTTATACTTCCTGAAGGAGCAGGGGAGGAGAAGAGGGGGGTAGGGTAAGAATGAAAGAGGAGATAAAGGAGGAAAATGGGGAAAAACAGGAAAATAAATAATGTCCGGAAGTTGAAAAGAAATAAGAAAGAATAGAGGGAGTATAATATCAAGTGAGGGAGATTGAGACACAAACAGATGGAAAGACAGACTCACTCGTGGTGCCCCATACCCAGCTCAGGGAGGTAGGGTAGTTTCTTGATCCTGATGATAGAGTCATATAGCGAGGGCTGGAGGGACTGGGCTACGGCGTTGGCCAGGATCACCGCTATCATCACCGGCAGGATGTGGCTGATCTGACCCGTCAGCTCAAACACGATGACCGCCGTCGACACCGTGTGAGTCACCGCCCCCGACAACGCCGCCGCACCTGGGGAGGAGGAATACACAGAGTCTGGATGATGACGATGATGAATATGGCTTTTATTGTCCAATGTGGTGGAAAGTGACATTTACAGTGGGGAAAAAAAGTATTTAGTCAGCCACCAATTGTGCAAGTTCTCCCACTTAAAAAGATGAGAGAGGCCTGTAATTTTCATCATAGGTACACGTCAACTATGACAGACAAATTGAGATTTTTTTTCTCCAGAAAATCACATTGTAGGATTTTTTATGAATTTATTTGCAAATTATGGTGGAAAATAAGTATTTGGTCACCTACAAACAAGCAATATTTCTGGCTCTCACAGACCTGTAACTTCTTCTTTAAGAGGCACCTCTGTCCTCCACTCGTTACCTGTATTAATGGCACCTGTTTGAACTTGTTATCAGTATAAAAGACACCTGTCCACAACCTCAAACAGTCACACTCCAAACTCCACTATGGCCAAGACCAAAGAGCTGTCAAAGGACACCAGAAACTAAATTGTAGACCTGCACCAGGCTGGGAAGACTGAATCTGAAATAGGTAAGCAGCTTGGTTTGAAGAAATCAACTGTGGAAGCAATTATTAGGAAATGGAAGACATACAAGACCACTGATAATCTCCCTCGATCTGGGGCTCCACGCAAGATCTCACCCCGTGGGGTCAAAATGATCACAAGAACGGTGAGCAAAAATCCCAGAACCACACGGGGGGACCTAGTGAATGACCTGCAGAGAGCTGGGACCAAAGTAACAAAGCCTACCATCAGTAACACACTACGCCGCCAGGGACTCAAATCCTGCAGTGCCAGACGTGTCCCCCTGCTTAAGCCAGTACATGTCCAGGCCCGTCTGAAGTTTGCTAGAGTGCATTTGGATGACCCAGAAGAGGATTGGGAGAATGTCATATGGTCAGATGAAACCAAAATATAACTTTTTGGTAAAAACTCAACTCGTCGTGTTTGGAGGACAAAGAATGCTGAGTTGCATCCAAAGAACACCATACCTACTGTGAAGCATGGGGGTGGAAACATCATGCTTTGGGGCTGTTTTTTCTGCAAAGGGACCAGGACGACTGATCCGTGTAAAGGAAAGAATGAATGGGGCCATGTATCGTGAGATTTTGAGTGAAAACCTCCTTCCATCAGCAAGGGCATTGAAGATGAAACGTGGCTGGGTCTTTCAGCATGACAATGATCCCAAACACACCGAGTGGCTTCGTAAGAAGCATTTCAAGGTCCTGGAGTGGCCTAGCCAGTCTCCAGATCTCAACCCCATAGAAAATCTTTGGAGGGAGTTGAAAGTCTGTGTTGCCCAGCGACAGCCCCAAAACATCACTGCTCTAGAGGAGATCTGCATGGAGGAATGGGCCAAAATACCAGCAACAGTGTGTGAAAACCTTGTGAAGACTTACAGAAAACGTTTGACCTGTGTCATTGCCAACAAAGGGTATATAACAAAGTATTGAGAAACTTTTGTTATTGACCAAATACTTATTTTCCACCATAATTTGCAAATAAATTCATTAGAAATCCTACAATGTGATTTTCTGGAAAAAAAATTCTCATTTTGTCTGTCATAGTTGACGTGTACCTATGATGAAAACTACAGGCCTCTCTCATCTTTTTAAGTGGGAGAACTTGCACAATTGGTGGCTGACTAAATATTTTTTTTCCCCACTCTTTTTGCTTTCCACAGCCTCCCTAGACATACATACAACTACAGAAAGTTTGGACACACCTACTCATTCAAGGGTTTTTCTTTATTTTTACATTGTAGAATAATAGTGAAGACATCAAAACTATTAAATAACACTATATTTTATATTTGAGATTCTTCAAATAGCCACCCTTTTCCTTGATGACAGCTTTGCACACTCTTGGCATTCTCTCAACCAGCGTCATGAGGTAGTCACCTGGAATGCATTTCAATTAACAGGTTTGCCTTCTTAAAAGTTAATTTGTGGAATTTCTTTCTTTCCTTCCAATCAGTTATGTTATGACAAGGTACAGAAGATAGCCTTATTTGGTAAAAGACCAAGTCCATATTATGGTAAGAACAACTCAAATAAGCAAAGAGAAACGACAGTCCATCATTACTTTAAGACATGAAGGTCAGGCAAATACGGAACATTTCAAGAACTTTGAAAGTTTCTTCAAGTGCGAAAACCAAACTCTGCATTCCACAGTAAGAACATCATACCAAAGGTCAAGCATGGTGGTGGTGGTGTGATGGTTTGGGGATGCTTTGCTGCCTCAGGACCTGGACGACTTGCCTTAATAGAAGGAACCATGAATTCTGCTCTGTATCAGAGAATTCTACAGGAGAACGTCAGACCATCCGTCTGTGAGCTGAAGCTGAAGCGCAGCTGGGTCATGCAGCAAGACAATGATCCAAAACACACAATCAAGTCTACATGAAAATTGCTAAAAAGCAACAAATTGGAAGTTTTGGAATGGCCTAGTCAAAGTCCAGACCCAATCCCAATTGAGATGTTGTGGCAGGACTTGAAACGAGCAGTTCATGCTTGAAAATCCACACGTCACTGAGTTAAAGCAGTTCTGCATGGAAGAGTGGGCCAAAATTCCCCCACAGCGACGTGAGAGACTGATCAACAACTACAGGAAGCATTTGATTGGAGTCATTGCAGCTAAAGGTGGCACAACCAGTTATTGAGTGTAAGGGGGCAATTACTTTTTCACACAGGGGAATTGGGTGTTGCATACTTTGTTTATGAAATAAATGAAATAAATATGTAATTGTTGTGTTATTTGTTCACTTATGTTCCCTTGATCTAATATTAGGTTTGGGTTGAAGATCTGATAACATTTAGTATCACAAATATGATAGAGAAAATTAGAAAAGGGGCAAATACTTTTTCATAGCACTGTATGTGTAAAATAGTAAAAATAAAGAAAAACCCTTGAATGAGTAGGTGTGTCCAAACTTGTTAATGCATATTTCAAGTGTATTTGTTATCTTCACTGTTCTAAACAACAAAACAAATGAAAGCACAAGCTAGTGATTTGTGATTGCACTAGTCACATTTATCCAACAAGTCTTTCATGTCCAACATTTTTAATGGATTGTTCAAGGTCATGTATCGCTTATGGCCCACTAAACAAGAAATCAATGAGAACCTGATTTTTTTTTATTTCAACCCAAAACCTGCTGACTTTTCTATCGTAGCAGAATTCATTTTCATCAGTCACATTCAATAAGATAGCACAATTGACAAAAATAGCTTTGGCATCACACCAGCCTCCAGTTTCGATCACTTCAGAGAACAGAAAGAGCCAAGATAGAGCCTATGAAGAAGTTCAGTCTCACATTTGGTTTCAGTGATAAGCGGACACGTTAGAGCCGTAATGGAGCCTAAAGAAAACAAAACAGGTTAGTTTGAATGCAACTGGTGGAGTGAGATACAGAGACATCCACTACTTCTACAAATCACTCTAACTCACCCACTACAGCATAAGTAGCCCCTCCATGCAACTATGAATGGGATAATAAGAGACAACTACTGCCATCGGCTGATGCCATCTAGGGAACAATGACTGCCATGGTCTCTCCTACGAGAGCCCCGCCCAATGCTGTGCCCAAACAATCCAAATAAAAATGCCTGCAGCCTCTCTTTCACATCACACAAATAAATTGTTTGTGTACATGCAGGTGTTTTTAGTGTGCATGGCTAAATACATACATTCGCACACAGCAAGTGACTTACCAATGAGGAAAAACTGGCTTGAAAGGCCCCACATGGTACAAGGCATGGTGGTAGCTACTGCAGAACATCCATAACTAAGAGAGAAGAGAAGCGAAGAGAGAGAGAAGCGAGAGAGAGAGAAGAGAAGAGTAGAGAGAGAGAGATAGAGAGAGAGAGAGAGAGAGAGAAAGAGAGATAGAGAGGAGAGAGAGAGAGAGAGAGAGAGAGAGAGAGAGAGAGAGTAGAGAGAGGAAAAGAGAAGATCTCCGAAGAGAGGAGCTAGAAAGAGCGGAGAAAGTGGGAGAGAGAAGGGGTGTTCTGCCGAGCGAATTTGTGTAGATGGCCGGAAACTGAGAATAGACACAGAAGAGGCATAATATCCTAATTTTCACACCAACACAATCAGACAATCACAAACAAATCAGACTCGCCTCTCCTAAACCCACGCACAAAAACACTCTCCATTTTAAAACAACACACACGTACCTTCATCACGATGAAGAAGATGAGAGTGATGAAGACATTGACCTGGGGGTGTTTCCAGGCGTGGGAGTGGCTGATGTAGTCAAACTCCTCGGCAACACCCTGGCGACACCATGTGCGGTTGTCCAACAACGCCACCAGGGACTCATGCTGCGTCAGCTGAGGAGACAAGGAGAGACACAACTGTTAGGACTGGGATATACTGTATCAATCTCAATAGTCTAAATTGGCTTCCTTTCCTTATCTCCTTCCCTTCGCTGATCTAAGAGGTTAGGATAGGTGAAGACAACACAGGACAGGTCCATTCACAAAAGAGAAAATGAAGGGAAGGGGACGAGGAGAGGAGGCTGCTTTAGACAATTGAAATGCATCTCTGTTTCAATACTTTGAAAGGTGTATCATACACATTGTTGTTGACAGACGCAGATATAAAAAAAATGGAACTACTGACCTGTCCAGCCATGAACTGTCCAAACCCAGGGGGGAAGGTGAGGGTTGAGATGATCAAGGTGACCATGGCAGGAAACACCAGACGTCTGACAGGGAGAGAGAGGAGCTGTGGGTTCATTAATGTGTGTGTGTGGCCAGCTCTAGCCTTTTCAGCTGTGGGTTCATTAATGTGTGTGTGTGGCCAGCTCTAGCCTTTTCAGCTGTGGGTTCATTAATGTGTGTGTGTGGCCAGCTCTAGCCTTTTCAGCTGTGGGTTCATTAATGTGTGTGTGGCCAGCTCTAGCCTTTTCAGCTGTGGGTTCATTAATGTGTGTGTGTGGCCAGCTCTAGCCTTTTCAGCTGTGGGTTCATTAATGTGGTGTGTGGCCAGCTCTAGCCTTTTCAGCTGTGGGTTCATTAATGTGTGTGTGTGGCCAGCTCTAGCCTTTTCAGCTGTGGGTTCATTAATGTGTGTGTGTGGCCAGCTCTAGCCTTTTCAGCTGTGGGTTCATTAATGTGTGTGTGTGGCCAGCTCTAGCCTTTTCAGCTGTGGGTTCATTAATGTGTGTGTGTGGCCAGCTCTAGCCTTTTCAGCTGTGGGTTCATTAATGTGTGTGTGTGGCCAGCTCTAGCCTTTTCAGCTGTGGGTTCATTAATGTGTGTGTGTGGCCAGCTCTAGCCTTTTCAGCTGTGGGTTCATTAATGTGTGTGTGTGGCCAGCTCTAGCCTTTTCAGCTGTGGGTTCATTAATGTGTGTGTGTGGCCAGCTCTAGCCTTTTCAGCTGTGGGTTCATTAATGTGTGTGTGTGGCCAGCTCTAGCCTTTTCAGCTGTGGGTTCATTAATGTGTGTGTGTGGCCAGCTCTAGCCTTTTCAGCTGTGGGTTCATTAATGTGTGTGTGTGGCCAGCTCTAACCTTTTCAGCTGTGGGTTCATTAATGTGTGTGTGTGGCCAGCTCTAGCCTTTTCAGCTGTGGGTTCATTAATGTGTGTGTGTGGCCAGCTCTAGCCTTTTCAGCTGTGGGTTCATTAATGTGTGTGTGTGGCCAGCTCTAGCCTTTTCAGCTGTGGGTTCATTAATGTGTGTGTGTGGCCAGCTCTAGCCTTTTCAGCGGCACCAAGCAAGATTTGGTTGCCCTGCCCCCCACCTAACGACCCTTGTGACGTTTACACAGGCAGCCCAATTCTGATATTTTGCCCAATTCTTGGAAAAAGAGCTGATCTGATTGGCCAAAAGACCAATTTTTGGAAAAATAGTATAATTGGGCTGCCTGTGAAAATGCTGCCTCAGTTACTGACATAAGAAGCTGATGCACTACCAAATTCCGAAATTGCACATTGTGCAATTCAAACTACTATAACTTTCTTAATTGGGAGCCCCCCTAGCGGTAAGGCGAGCTGGCACTGACTCTTTATACAATGAGAGGAGGGATGAAGGGCATACATATATTGTAAATCATACAGGAAGAAAATAATGGCACATGGACTAGAGACAACATTTTTATTTTTTCATAGCATTATACAGTTAAGACATCAGAGAAGCATCCATCATTATAAACCGGGAAGTTTGGGTCCTGGATGCTGATTGGCTGAAACAGCATTCCAGCTGTGTGTATATCTTACAATATACCACAGGTATGATGCAAGAATACTTGTTTACTATTATATTTATGTTGGTAACCGGTTTATAATAGCAATAAGTCACCTCGAGCCGGGAAGCTGGAAAAAATCTGCAGTTCTGCCCTTGAACAAGGCAATTAACCCCCACAATAACTGCTCCCCGGGCGCTGATAACGTGGACTGATTCAGAGGTGTTGGGTTAAATGCTGAAAAATGTATGTTGAATGCATTCAGTTGTGCAACTGACTAGGTATCACCTTTCCCTTTTGGTATATGGCAAATATACCACTGCTAAGGGCTGTATCAGTATGTTTTACTGAAGAATGTGTTTGTTTCATATGATTGTGTTTTGCTTTTTGTGTTTGTTTTTCATGTATTGTGTTATTGATGTGTATATACAGTACCAGTCAAAAGTTTGGACACACCTACTCATTCAAGGGTTTTTCTTTATTTTTACTATTTCTACATTGTAGAATAATAGTGAAGACATCAAAACTATGAAATAACACATATGGAATCATGTAGTAACCAAAAAAGTGTTAAACAAATCAAAATGTATTTTATATTTGAGATTCTTCAAATAGCCACCCTTTGCCTTGATGACAGCTTTACACACTCTTGGCGTTCTCTCAACCAGCTTCACCTGGGTCATTGTCCTGTTGAAAAACAAATGATAGTCCCACTAAGCACAAACCAGATGGGATGGCGTATCGCTGCAGAATGTTGTGGTAGCCATGCTGGTTAAGTGTGCCTTGAATTCTAAATAAATCACAGACAGTGTCATCAGCAAAGCACCCCCACACCATAACACCTCCTCCTCCGTGCTTTATGTTGGGAACTACATATGCGGAGATCATCCGTTCACCCACACCGCGTCTCACAAAGACACAGCGATTGGAACCAAAAATCTCCAATTTGGACTCCAGACCAAAGGACAAATTTCGGCCAGTCTAATGTCCATTGCTCGTGTTTCTTGGCCCAAGCAGGTCTCTCCTTTTTATTGGTGTCCTTTAGTAATGGTTTCTTTGCAGCAATTCGACCATGAAGGCCTGATTCACACAGTCCCCTCTGAACAGTTGATGTTGAGATGTGTCTGTGACTTGAACTCTGTGAAGCATTTATTTGGGCTGCAATTTCTGAGGTACAGTTAACTCTAATGAACTTATCCTCTGCAGCAGAGGTAACTCTGGGTCTTCCATTCCTGTGGCGGTCCTCATGAGAGCCAGTTTCATCATAGCGCTTGACGGTTTTTGCGACTGCACTTTAAGAAACGTTCAAAGTTCTTGAAATGTTCCATATTGACCTTTATGTCTTAAAGTATGATGGACTTTTGTTTCTCTTTGCTTATTTGAGCGGTTCTTGCCATAATATGGACTTGGTCTTTTACCAAATAGGGCTATCTTCTGTATACCACCCCTACCTTGTCACAACACAACTGATTGGCTCAAACGCATTAAGAAGGAAAGAAATTCCACAAATTAACTTTTAAGAAGGCACACCTGTTAATTTAAATGCATTCCAGGTACTACCTCATGAAGCTGGTTGAGAGAATGCCAAGAGTGTGCAAAAATGTCATCAACGCAAAGGGTGGCTATTTGAAGAATCTCAAATATAAAATATATTGTGATTCGCTTAAACCTTTTTTCATTACTACATGATTCCATATGTGTTATTTCATAGTTTTGATGCCTTCACTATTATTCTACAATGTAAAAAATAGTAAAAATAAAGAAAAACCCTTGAATGAGTAGGTGTGTCCAAACTTTTGACCGGTAGTGTAGATACAGTATGTATAGTGTAAGTGTTGTTTATTGATGTGTTTGACAGGTTGTCATCTAAAACTACTCCACCTTTCCAGAAATAAGTATCTCACTGTTGCTGCTTGCTACAGACCCCCTCAGCCCCCAGCTGTGCCCTGAACACCATATGTGAATTGATTGCCCCCCCATCTATCCTCAGAGTTTGTATTGCTTGGTGACCTAAACTGGGATATGCTTAACACCCCGGCCGTCCTACAATCTAAACTAGATGCCCTCAATCTCACACAAATTATCAAGGAACCTACCAGGTACAACCCTAAATCCGTTAACATGGGCACCCTCATAGATATCATCCTACCTAATTTACCCTCTAAATACACCTCCGCTGTCTTCAACCAGGATCTCAGCGATCACTGCCTCATTGCCTGCGTCTGTAATGGGTCCGCGGTCAAACGACCACCCCTCATCACTGTCAAACGCTCCCTAAAACACTTCAGTGAGCATGCCTTTCTAATTGACCTGGCCCGGGTATCCTGGATGGATATTGACCTCATTCCGTCAGTAGAGGATGCCTGGTTGTTCTTTAAAAGTGCTTTCCTTTCCATCTTAAATAAGAATGCCCCATTCAAAAAATTCCGAACAAAGAACAGAGATAGCCCCTGGTTCACCCCAGACTTGACTGCCCTTGACCAGCACAAAAACATCCTGTGGCGTACTGCATTAGCATCGAACAGCCCCCGCGATATGCAACTTTTCAGGGAAGTCAGGAACCAATATATACAATCAGTTAGGAAAGCAAAGGCTAACTTTTTCAAACAGAAATGTGCATCCTGTAGCACTAACTCCAAAAGGTTTTGGGACACTGTAAAGTCCATGGAGAATAAGAGCACTTCCTCCCAGCTGCCCACTGCACTGAGGCTAGGAAACACTGTCACTACCGATAAATGTACGATAATCGAAAATTTCAACAAGCATTTTGCTACGGCTGGCCATGCTTTCCACCCTACCTCTTCTGAAAGAGCTGCAAAATCTGGACCCCTACAAATCAGCTAGGCTAGACAATCTGGACCCTTTCTTTCTAAAATTAGCCGCCGAAAAAAAAAAAAAAAATGTATTCACTAACTGTAAGTCGCTCTGGATAAGAGCGTCTGCTAAATGACTAAAATGTAATGTAAATGTCTGAGATCCCCAGAGATTGGAAAGCTGCCGCAGTCATCCCCCTCTTCAAAGGGGGTAACACTCTAGATCCAAACTGTTACAGACCTATATCCATCCTGCCATGCCTTTCGAAAGTATTTGAAAGCCAAGTTAACAAACAGATCACCGACCATTTCGAATCCCACCGTACCTTCTCCGCTATGCAATCTGGTTTCCGAGCTGGTCGTGGGTGTACCTCAGCCACGCTCAAGGTCCTAAACGATATAATAATAATAATAATATGCCATTTAGCAGACGCTTTTATCCAAAGCGACTTACAGTCATGCGTGCATATATATTTTTTGTGTATGGGTGGTCCCGGGGATCGAACCCACTACCTTGGCGTTACAAGCGCCGTGCTCTACCAGCTGAGCTACAGAGGACCACGATCGATAAAAGACGGTACTGTGCAGCCGTCTTCATTGACCTGGCCAAGGCTTTCGACTCTGTCAATCACCGCATTCTTATCGGCAGACTATATAGCCTTGGTTTCTCAAATGACTGCCTCGCCT